TGACCTTGGCATAAGGCAGCTGGTTTTGAGGATTTAAAAGTTGAATATAGATACCAGCAGTGACAGCTGAATAAGTCATCTAAACTGTATGCGGCGATTGCCATTAGCCCTTAAGTACTCCAGTTCTTTATCTCCAGTGTTGGGGTGATAGTAACACGCTAAACCTGAGGGATGTTGCTAGGACTGGCAGATACTTTTATCCTGTGTTAATCAAGTGAAGCATGAGACACATGCAAAATCTGAGTCTTCAGCATGCACAGATTGCAGGATTCTACCCTTTTCTTATTTCTGAACATACTGAAAAATCAGTATCACTTCACTGCTGAAATCTGAGACTTTCCTGAAATTAGTCAAAACAAAACCATAAATATCTACAGAATCTGAACAGAAATAATTTCAAAACTTTGTATAAATGTGGCTCTTAAAAATTCCTTGATCATTTAAGCATCATACTTCCATTATATTTCAGTACCAACTCTTGTATAGTTAATAAACACAATTTATTTCTTAGGCAATTAAAATATTTGCAAGGGAACTCACTATTGCAGTAATGCAAGCTGTACAAATTGAACCTACAAAATAACATCGCATTTGCCCTAAAGCAGGCTATATTAAGTGCAGGTTACACTAAGATTATATAAACATTTTCAGAAGCATGAAAAGATGATATAAACAGATCTAATATTAATGAGTTCTCCCTGTTTTTAAATGCTAGGAAGTCAGAGATAATTAAGAGCAAATAATCCAAGTTTCAGCCACAGGTGACTACTATGAGAGAGATGCTAAGTGTTTCTGTCATTTTACAGACGTAGATACTTTTGTAGGAGAGAGCTATGATACCATCTTAGCTTGCATATTTACAATTAGTCTCTTTTACTTATGAAACAGTTTTACTTGTGGAACGGTTATGAAACATACATAGTTAAAAAAAAATATAGCTCCTAGGGGGATCCTCCATCTGCTGAAGCTAAAAAAAAAATAAAAAAATGTGCTTTTGCCTTTGGTTTAGTGGTGATGAAACTGTATGACATACATTATACTGAATTTCAGAGTAGATGGTTTGATGATTCCTTATGAAAAGGCAAACTGTGATGTAAGCCTGTAGATAGTGACAGCACTAGTGGATATTACACCTACGAGAAGAGCCTGCCTCTCCGAAGATTGTAGAGTTTGCACAGCAGCTGGGCTGAAATTACAGGTTGGAAACAACCCACTGTTGTAGAATAAAGTTATTTTCATTTCAACACAGATTGCCCACATGGGGGTGTACAGTTATTCTGCAATGGCTCTGCTGGTCAATTTTCCTTGTGCATTTACAGGTTTTATATAAACCTTCTGTTTTTCCAACAACTGTACTTTGTTGTGTGAATGATATAATATATGGTTTAGATTTTATGCAAGGGAAAAAACAATACACGATGCTGTTCCTGGTAGTAATGTTACTCTGGCTAAATGGGGTCATAACATGTTGAGAAAAAAAGGACTGTAGAACTGGTATAGAGTTTTTTTCCCCACTGGGTACATGTTTGCTTGTTATGCACATAGAAGTCTATCTGCTCTGGGAGATCTCACTTTAGTGTACCCAAGTGCTACTGTGGCTCCACAGGACGAACACGACTGTCTGTATACAGCCATATCTGACCCCTATTGCTCCTTAACCAGTCTCCGCTCTACCAAACAGGCATTCTCGCTCTCCAGAAATCAAAGCACTAGGTCAGTCAGTAGATTATTGCCATGCTGGAAACCTGACAATACCAAGTTTGAAGCCTCCTTCAGGCTTCTGTACCAAAGGCTAATTGCCTTCTCCACCCTGGGCTTTATCTACAGCCAAGAGAGACAGTTTTCGGTATCTCACCTCAGACCAGTGTGTCCAGGACCTTTGCAACCCAGAAGCACTACTCAGGCATTACTTCTAAGCATCTGCTTCTGCTTATTTCAAAAACCCCTATGAGAATTAATTTGAAAGTGAGCTGTAAATATTAATTTTCTTTGTACTCTAGGCACTTCTGAAATGTCTAAGTTAATACTTCACGTAATGCTTTGCCCTTGTTTACCCAAGCAGATTTTACTTTGCTGCAGCAGAGCAATGTATATCACAACAGAAGATAAAAGTCTAGGCTGATTTACAAGGCTCGTGGCTGAACAGCAGTGACATGCAGAAAAAGCTGGAGCGCTGTGATGAAAGAACTCACAAATTTCCACCCTTTATGATTTTTAACCAGGACAGTTAGATTTTCTCATTGAGCAAGTGTTTCTTCATCAGATGCAAAAAGAACATTTTAACACAGTGAATTTATGTCTGAGGGGAGAAAAACCGCAAAGTGGTATTGAAGTAAAGGATTCTGAGTACTCTCCTGTGATCCAGACATCGCCACTGAGAATAGAATAGGCTTTTTTTATATTTTCCTAAAATGAATATACATGCTGAGGAACAGCAAGGTAGAAGAAGAAAGGCACTTTACTAGAAGGCAGGTGAGAGTATCCAGAACTACTAGGGAGCAGAAAATTATCAAAGCTGAGACAGAAACAAGTCCTGATCACAATGATCCTGCAACGTAATGTACCCTAACTAAATGTTCAGTCTTCACATTTTGGAAAGCAAGTTGCCTCTTCTCATAAAATATGTATCCACTTATTATTTCAGATCCGTTTCTCTGTAGAACTGAATTAATTGAAATAAACTGCTCATTTCAGAAGCTGGAGGAGAGTGCAAGAAAGGCAATGGGGCCTGAGGCAGACATCATCATGAAAGCTAAGCTTTGATGAAGTACTCATACTTTGAGTATGAGTAAGTCCTCACACTTTGAGGAAATAACAAGTTGAAAAAATGAAGTGTGAAATCTAGTTTAAAGTATAAAATTAAGATGTTCATGGGATTGGACCATAGCCCCAGAGGTTTCCAAGACCTAGCTGAACAAAGTCATGAATAAACTGGTCTGATCTCACAGCTGGTCCTGCTTTGAGTGGGAGGTTAGACTTGATGACTTCTAGTGGATTCTTCCATTCTGGTCTACTTTATGACACAGTTCTCCATTTGCTTAAGCAATATCATGAATGATTGAATATCATTCATCTTCACAGATGCAGATTGGATTGTATGACTGTTCTTAAACTACTGAAATTCCCATGTAGATGCATAATCCTAGTTTGCTTTTCTGGTCCATCCTTTTTTTTGGTAATTGACTCCAGTTCCTGCTTTTGCTGGTAGTTACACAATGTCCAAACACAGTCTGCATGAAATGACATTCTCACTACTGTTAGCAATGGGCTAATTAACAGCAATAAGACTGTTCAGCCTATCTGCTGCAGCTCATCAAAGGCACAAACATGCTGCAGTGTGGAGCCAGCTGTTTTTGGGAAACGGTGGAGGACTGACTCACAGTAGGTTCATCTTTCATTGCAGTGTGATCTTCACAGGCATAACAAAAACCAAGATTATTTTAATGCAAAATTTAATTGAATAGAAATAGGTGTGCAGAGACTGTAGATTTTTCAGCAGTAAATTACACCTTGTGAAGGGGTATCCATAAATTCACCTAAATATATGGAAGGGAATACAGTGTGACTATATGTCTGGTATTGCTTCCTGCTAAGGGTGAAGGATGAAACTATTTTAGTTCTCCACAGTGAGTGAAATAGATTTTCCATAAATTCCAGTACTCAAGAAACTCAGTTCTTAAGGAATTACAGAAAAACACAAAGCATCTCAAGGTTTGCCTGTTCTTCATAAGATGACTGTTACCATATAATTTTTATATTTTAATATTTCTCATATAATTGAGTTTATCAAAAAAGAAATGAGAACACTGGCCACAAAGCAACAGACCTTGATCAAACCAAAGCCAACAGAAACTCAGTGCTATAACATTTATTAATGGAAAGAAATCAAAAAATTCTTGAAAGCAAGAAATTGGCTAAAGTATGCAAGATCTGTTCATGCGTGCTTGGAACGGTTTTCTGCAAGTACCCTTAGTCTTGGATAAATTTGGTATGTTTGCTGTGACTTTATTTCATTTAGCTCTAATTCCACTAAAACCAGGTTTTTGCAAGACAAACTGAGAACAGAGTGACTTTGCATATTACTTAGTTTGGGAGTTGAAGCTAAAGAAAACAATAAAAGTGACCTCAAGTTCCTAATTCCATACTATGTTCATCAGCTATTTATCAGTTCTTCAATATGGTGTTAAACTATTGCACTGTTTTAGAATGTTAATAGACTTTTCTCCTTTCATTATGCATCCATTTCATACATAACATTTCTGAACCTAAGCAGTAGGGTTGAAAAACATGACGACAACAAATATCCATTATGATACTACATTTTGTGTCAGAGAACTGGTATTAAATAAATTCTTGCTTTGGAGGTCAATAAAGGCTGTTGAGTGAAGAACATTTTGGAAAAGCTACAGCTGCAGAGTTTGCATTTTGCTGTCCTGAGCTTCAGCTGCTCAGAGTCTAAATCTCTCCTGCTACTGACTTGACTGTCCTCATCAATGTGGCAGCAAGAGGCTGAGGAGAACCAATGTACCCACTAACTATAGTGAGAGATTAAAAAAGAAAATACTTGACACTTTGGATGTTTTGGTCTCCCTGCTGTTGAGAGAACAAGTAGGTCTTTATAGTTACATTACCACCACACATCTCCATGTGGTTAAATTATTTTTGATAAAGCCAAGGATATAGTGAGAAAATATGAATTTTATTATGATTTCTACTTCTTGTTCTTCCTTCAAAAGGATTTTAAAGTAGGATTGAAGAAATAGGAAAAAGGGCCTAACTCTAAGCTGATTGACTATCCTTGCCTAATTTCTTTGCTGAAGTGAAATGGGACAATTGTGTTGCATTGCAATACTGCTGATTGCAATAGAAATTCATGTGAATGCGTCTATATAAGACTAAAAAATAACAACCCTTTGCACTGCATAACCTATACACAATGTTTTTGGATATCTTTGAGCACAGCTGCATACCCATCAAAAAAGAGAAATCCTTTTCTTTACCTTTGGAGTTTGCTGCACCAGCTGCAGTTGAAACCAATCTGGGCAGTGACACAAGGACCACAGCTGGTAAACTGAAGACAAGCTGGGATGTAGATAAACAAACACAAATTATTACATTAGTCTCATAAATAATTCTCATAAAAAGCACAAAAAAAGGATACATCTGATAATGTATATTTACGGACTCAACCGGTTCATACACATCCAAAATAAGACACCAAACCCAGCCTATTACAATGCATTGCACAACTCTATGCACAAAGGTACATTTTATCTGTAGGATTCTGTTTGTAAATGTTTCCACTTCCACGTCTGTTCACTCAACTTCATTGATATTTTTTTATCTTTTTGTTTAATATTAAGTATTTCCTTAAATCTTAATCTTCCCTGGCTCCCGTGTTCCATGGTGTTGCTGACATTCAGACATAAGCAGGTAATAAGGCTGGCAGAAAAGTGTGCAAGAACTATAATTGGATTATAAAAAAGAGAAATAACTGTTTCTGTTTTTTCCCCAGTATTGCAGCTGGCAGTTTAAACCCAGAGATTTCTAAACAATGTCGTTTTACCTTGGACAAAAGAGACAGATGAACTGCAAAATGTGTTTAGGGATATTCCTTTGTGATGTGATGCACTGTGCACATAAGAATTTGTGTTTGATTTGCAAGCATGAAAATTGTTCTTTTTTTCTTGAGGAAATGAATTTAAAAGCAATATAATCATTCTTCTGAAAAAAAAAATTATTTGGCACAAATTTCATCAAAACCTACTGAGAGCTATATACCTATAAACAAAGTGGAGATACATGAGGATGCACTGGATAATGTATCATCCACCTGGAAATAAATCTGAGAGAAGATAAATGAACCTGTCCATGATTTCAAGCCCACAGATAAAACAAAACATTTAAAATCTTCTGTGTTTTTCTGAAAGGGGGATCTTTGCCGTATTTGGCTCCTGCCCATATTAGGATTTACTTACTTGGAAGTGGTATCATTTCAACAGCTGACAGATTGGTAATCTTTGACATCTGTAGTTCCACCCTGTGGTACTCATAAATAGTTCTCCTACGGACATCTACGAGGAAAGAAAAATAAAAGTATTTTCATACCTCACTATTTTGCAGTCTGTAGATTGTGAAACAGTGGATGTAATGATTGCTTACTGTTCCTTACATGCATACACAACACTAATTTTCCTCATGAGTATATTTTTAACTTCAGACATCAGGAAGGAATGTGTAAAATGTATAGACAGAGAAATTGTCATTTGAGAAACCATCAGAGGTGACAGGATAGGTACCTATTCCTGGTAAAGGATTATGAAAACACTGAGAGTGCTCTCAAGCATCCTAGACATTCATTTAGGCAGAAATTCTGCAGATTATACTGTCAGGCATTTTAGGGTGTATTTCAGATGCTTGCTTTCCTAAGACATTTCTCAGTTTACAGACTACAGAGAAATGCTTTGTATGCTCACTTGTCAGTTCTTGTCAAGATGCGCAAACAAAACTCATTTCATTGCTTAATCAAATTTGTTAGCTACAAGCTAGCTCAATTCTGAATGCATGGAAACATTTTTTCATATTATAACATTGCATTAAAGAAGACGAGTCTTCCTAAGCAGCCAGTGTTATGCATAATCTTTACACAAGCTGACTGTACCTAAGTTTCTTAAAGCAGAACTTCAATATAGTTAGTACACTGTTGTTAACGGCTTTAAACTCATAGACAACTAAGACCCACACACAAGATAAGCGTCAAAGAATTCACATAATTGTCAGTTTACAGGTCAACATCCTATCATGTATTCTGAATATTCCAGATTTTAAATGTATGGCTACAATGCAGACTGGTGAGCTTGTACCTTTGTAAATCGAAAGTACAGTTTATACCAGCAATCTGACGCAATAACGATGATGATTTTCTGGTGCACTGGATTCAAATTTATGTACTTTTTGAAGGTCTGCTAAATTAATTGAAATCAATGCTCAATACAATCACTGATCCTATGGAAACATTCCAGAGAGGAATAAATGGTTACATGCAAAGGATTAACAGGTTACTCTGGTCAGTGGCTGGTCTGAGTCTACATGTAACAGAAGGACAGCCACAAACTCAGTTGTAGGTGGTCTTCTGTGTTGCCAGCCCTAGACGGATTAGGGCACACCTTGTTGCTTGATATAAAGGCTGTGTTCCTGCAGCTAGAAGTGAGCTTACTGGGCTCCCCAGCTGTTAAGCAATCACACAGCACAAAATCCAAAGTTTTTTGCAATCTCTTGTTAGGAGGGATATTGTAGGCATTTTTCAGACAGAAAATGAAACCTCAACTGAAATAAATCAAACCATAAATACTGATTTTTAAGAGAAGAGAGAAAGTGCGCTGAGGTGTCCTGTGGCTAAGGTGCCTCTTGGATCAAGGGGACGAGGCATTCTAAGAAGGATGGCCAACCTCTGAAAGCACAGTTGTAGTAATCCCCCTTACACCACACAGAAAATAACCATTAAACTATCTGTGTCAGTTGGAATAAACAGGGAAATGTCTGATGAGGGATGGTGAGGTGGAAGCAGAGCTGTGCTGGGTGGTGTAGCTCTCTCCTGCATCAGCCAGGGTTGCTGTGGAGGAAACAGCTTCTCTGCTCTCTCTCACTGCATAAACCCTCAGGCACAGGTAGGCAGTGTCTGGCTTTCAGACAATGCTACTTCCATTTAGCTCCAAATCAGCACCTTAGTCAATCAGTTCCTTTTGCCGTTTATTTGAAACTGTCTTTGCTATGGTTCTACCCTTCCTGACACCAGATTTCTCTTTTTGTATGAAATGCACTTTCAATTGAGCTAGTTTTATATTTAACCTACAAAGTCATTCTAACTAGTTAAAAGACAGATATGGGGATGTGCCAAAGGTTTACCCCAGTAAATGCCTTAGCCATATCCTTCAAACCCACTGTCCTTCAAGGCAAAGCTAATCTTCTGCTGGTGTGGGGAAAATCTCTTGCCAGCAGTGAAAGGTTTAGGCTCCCAAGATGGTAAATCCCATAAAAGCACCTGCCAAATCAGAGTGTTAGAAAATGTGTTTGAAATGAACTCCTGCCAATGCTGAAGGCTGTAATTTGTTTCCACAGAAATCTTTATCCTTCTGTCAAAAAAAAAAAAAAAAGGCAAATGAATACATAAATTAAATGGTGGATGCTGACACTTCAGTTGAACTCCATTTCATCTCATCAGTAGTGGTACAGACTGTTAATGCTATAATCCTGTTTACTCTGAACCTTTCCTAACAGAGTCCTCACAGAGCTTATAAGAAATAAAGGACTTCTGGTTTTCCAAAGATCCAGTAAGAATCATTGACTCAGGTCACAGGCACTTTTACCCAGTGCATGAAATTTCTAAAATAGAATGATTTTAAGAGAATTAAGCTTGTTATTTAAAAAAAAAATAAAAAAAATAAAATTCTAATCACACAGATTTCAGCATGACTGTTGATCCCATTAAATCCCTGGTAGACTCAGGTTTGTTCTTTTCTTTTTCAGGAAGACTGTGCCAACCACAGGCAGTGAGCTTGCATACAAGGGATCTACCTACTGTAAGAAACCTAAGCACACAGAGCTATTTGCATAGTCACCTTCTAACAGCTTTGTATATACTTGCAGGCAGGTGGTTAGAAACGTAAGTGTTCAATTTTATCTGCCTGCCCAGGCTGTAAAAACATGCAAGTGTAGATTCTTTTGAAAGTCTGACTTGAAACACACCATGCTAAACTCCTCAAAACACACTTTTTTTCTCCCTATTTAAAATTCTGAGCCTGTATCCACTTAACAAAACAGGCTAGAAAAGCTAAACTCAACAGGATAAACAGAAAAATTAATACTCTCACCTGACATGTTCCCTCTCAACCTCTCCACACACTCCAGCTCCAACCCAAGACAGATACACACTGCCTTTCACTCAGGTGGAACTTGTTCTTTTTTGTCCTATGATGTCTATTTAGCATTCTTACAAAAAAGTACAGAATCATAAAAAGCTTATGAGCCCATGTACTTCAGTATGCACTTTAACTTGGCAAGAACTAGTGAAATCATCTGATGTAGTAACAAGACAAAAATTTAAGCATAATGTGCAGGTATTTTGTTGAAAAGAGGCATTAGTTCAGGTTTAAGGGAACCAGGGAAGGTTCTTCCACAGAAGGGAGGAAAGTACTTTTTGAATGCATGTATTCATTTGAGGTACCATTCCTGGTTCTGAACTTCAGAAAATATGTATATATTCTCCTAGCCATGAAAATATTTTACTTTTGGGTAGGTCTGAGTATCTCAAACATGGTTCTTAATCAAAGCATATAAGTATTTTATTTTCAATATTTTCAATAACAGATTCCTTTTTTTTACATTTACATGGTCCAACTTGATCTTTGGTTACTTTCTGTGACATATTCAGGTATTATCTTTGAATACAGGGCCCAAGGTACAGTACCATCAGAAAAAGCTGAAGAAAACCCCAGCTGCTTGAGGTAAGTACAGTCCCCAGTGACCTAGAGAGATAATGCGGGGGGCCAAAAGGCCAACTGAAAGAATCCTTTCAAGGGAATAAGCAATGGGTAAGCAAATAATAGATATGCACGATTCTGGTGTGACAAAATATTTCTATGTAGTTTTATTACAGTAGTTTTAAACTAAATAATGGCATATAAATATTCTCCGAAACAGAACTGTCAGAGTTAAGTAAATGTGTGATAGGGAGAGTGCTCTGGAGATGCAGTAGTGCCAGAAGAGCACCAGTGACTTCCTAACATACCTGAAGAGTCAGTAGCTAGTAATAAAGCATTCTAAATATGTGTTCAAGAGATGCACAATCTCCCTGGTACTTTTCCATCATATAATCAGTTTTCGTCATACAGCATTCCTCAGCTAAAACCTGCAAGCCAGTGAAATTTGAAAATGTTGAAGTCAGTCTGAATTTTTAGGCTGTATGTTCACACAAATAAAAATCTTTGTCAGTGAAAGATTTCTAGGGAATTGAGATCAACCATATATCCAGCAAAAATTGCTAAACAAGGCCATATGTATTCATACAGCTGCACTTTCATTTTTAAGTCTCACTTTAAGAGAAAACAGAAATGGTGAGAGGGTGCATTTGATTATGCAGAAGTCAATTTGAAGCAAGCAACTTATGAAACATACCCAGCCTAAACTGCAAGCAATTTGTGAAAAACATAAGGGATACAGAAGGGTGGTGCACAGCTGCTCTACTATACAGCCACTGGCTTTGTTTGATAGGCACTTTGTTTAGCACCACTGGCTGAATAAAACTTTCATGCAAACACATATTTTGCCAGCCTGGTATGTCTGATTACCATCACCACAAAAGGTAAAGGAATCAGGATGTCAAAGTAATCTTTGTTTGTAACAGCTTAGTTTAAATTTATCAATATTAACTAATTAATTCTTGAGGCACTATGATCAAATATGTTTGTAATCAAACCTCCACCACAATTGCTCTTTGTTATTGACTATTACACATGTATGAATCTAGATCAAAATTAAATTCCCTAATTGTATTAATTTTAGCATTCTCTTAAAAGTTGCTAAAAAAATCGTTTAAAACATGTAAGCTGCACTTCAAAGACACATAATGTGTGAATAAGCAAACCAGCGAAGTAGGCTCTGACAATATGTTTTATGAATAATGTAGAAAAAGCTGTTCCGCACCAACACTGTGTCTAACACACATCATTTACTTTGAATCTCTCCATGTCCTTTCAGATTTACCCCAATTCCTGATGCCAGCTGAGCTGCTCTCAGTACCAAATCTAGGTGTGAAAAACATGCTTTATCGCCTTATGATACCATGCACCAAACTGCCAAATTCTGAGATTGGCTGACAGCCAGTTTGGCTAAAATGAAAACATTTTAAACTTTGATCACCTTGTGCCAGTTCCTGAAGTGCTTTTATGTCACCAAAGACTGGCAGCATGCCCATCTCTTTCCTTCACTGCTCTTGAATCGACATCTAGTGCCAAGGAACCGAGCTGCCCAGCTAAACCCTGTTGGGCCAGCAAACAGGCAGGGCCGGAGGAGCTGGCAACCTGTGGAATTAGTTACACTAGTAAAAAGCAAGAGTAAATACTGCAAATTTAGAGAGATAACTTTGGGGTCCACTTTGCACAGACGTAAGTGACATTACCAGTAAGGCAACAGCAAAATAAACTTTGCGATTTCCCAGATGGTGCTGCACCTTTATACAATAAATATCACGATATAAACTGCTAGTCTTCTTTGACCCTTCAGGAAGGTAATGCTAGGGTTCTTTTAGGGCCTCACTGTTGTAAACAGATGAATGAAATCTTCAGAAAGCAGTTGTAACATGCAGAGTTGTTAATTATATGCTTCAGTTACACTACATATTGAGTGGCATTAATTGCACTGAAACTGGAATATTGCTAACACACAAATTTCATTTGCGTACACAGGGCTGTTGAGTAATTTCAACGTCATTACATGTTGGGTTGCCAACATATGGATTTCCTAAAAGAGTTGTACCTAATACAGTAGAGGCCAAGATTGTGGAGAAGTATGTCTCATCACAGAGAAAAACTTAGCCATCATCTGTAGGTGCAAGACTAGTAACTCACTGTGTAGACCCCGTGAATCTGGTACTCTCTCTTTTTCCCATTGTATTTCATGCTGTTGTGGAAAACAAACCACCATCTGGGCAAACTCACTGGTGTGTTTTATCATTGCTAAACAAAATAGTGGGTTGCAGAAAATGCTTTTTCATTTCACAGTGAAAAGCTAATTGAAAGACAAAAGCAAAGAGAGCAGTGAAACAAAGGACAGAAATGTAGTAACCCTGAAGAAAAGGAAAGATGTAGAGGAAGAAAGATGATCATGAAATTATGAATGGACTTAACCATTTATCATTTTGCTGTCATATGAATCTCAGAATTTAGGATTTTTCTTGTTAACCTTGGTGCCAAGCAAAAATACACTTCCCTTCAAACATTACTATTAATTCCAAAGCACCTCTAGAGAATATACAGGCATACATATTTATATATAGAGAGAAAAATATAAAATAGTGGCCAATCTGCATCAATATATTAGTACCACATATAGGCTTGAAAATGAAGACATTGACTATATAGAAGCAGTAGTAGCAGATGAAGAAAAAAAAATCAAACATACAAAACAGTCAGAAAGTCACCTGTCAAAATCTGCCATCTCTGTGCTCTAACTCTCAGAAGATAAGGTGAAAAATGCAGGTACGTGTATTCTTTTATGGACAGATAAAAGGGATATTACTGCAAAGCCTTTATATGTAGGAGTATATTAACAAAAAATGATACGAAATGCTCAAGGTTCTCCATTTCAAAAAGTTCAGAAAATCCTTTCTTTTTCCTCTTGGCTCTTCAAGACTATCCTTTCAGCACTCATTAAAATGCACTTTGGAAACGAAATGGCTGATCAAAAAGCATGTTTTTCTCTCTTCAGAATGAAATAGTTTTGCCTGGCCTTAGAACTCACCTTTCAGAAGTACTAAAGAAGTTATTACTAATGTTTTGGATAGTATGTATAAAAAAAAAAAAATCAGATAAATAGTTCTAAATTTTCCAAAATTACTTCAATATTACTATACTGAAATTTTAGAATGTTGAGCATACAGAGTGCACCAAAGAAATTCAGCAATTTTGAAAATTCAGAGGATATTTTTGTTTAAGTAGGCTTGTGCTGCACTTAATGTCTCTTTCCTTTTCAAATGAAAGATGTATGTAAAAATAACTGACAAACCTCAAATGTGAAGCAGCAGAGTTGGGTTCTTCTTTGCTTGATTTAGGTTTATGATTTGTTGTTTTTTGTTTCGTCTTT